TGTAATTATTTTCACTTTGGGCCCTTATTTGTAATTACTTTCATTTTTCGGGCCCTTATATGTAAATTCCCCTAAAAATTATTTATATTTAAATCTAAGCGCTGCATAAATAAAGTGAATATAACAATACAATTATATAAGAAATATTGTTACACTCAGCAGTACTTGGGCATATGTGATTAGCTTTGAGCTAGCATAGGTTATGCGGGATGGATATTTATTATGGGTTCGGATTTAATGATGGTTTGTCATTAAGGAAAGTAGTTGGTAATGCTTTAGTTATTTTGATCGATGCAAAAAGTTGTTCCCTTTTATTTCATGTATTATATTTATACATTTTAGTTTCGGAAGGTTTCGAATCCAAATTGTGGATGTTGGGTTTCAAACCATTATCGAAGTTCTCAACCCCAGTTACTGGTTCGAAACCATGCATAGCCACTTCATAATGAAAACTAACAAGTGTGGTAGGAAAATACTAAGTCATATAGGAAAATATAAGAAAATTTTAACGCAAATTTTTACGACATATACCCCGTTTTTGCTTGTAATATGATAAAAACTATAACATTGGGCCATTCCTAATAATCCGGGCAATCTTGGTAGCCTAATTAACTCGGTTATCTAGTAAGAATTAACGAACCATGATTGACTAATCTAATGTAGCGATGCCTGACGCTTTTATCATATACGAAATCTTTGTCAAAAATTTCTGAATTATGAAAGACGAAAATGACAACTATGACAATCGATGAAGCTTAAATCTACTTTATTTCGTAATGTAAATAAATTAGTCCATTCGAAGTTAATTTTTTTATATCTACATTTCCTATAATATATCATTCTTTTTTTTATTTATGGAACTTTTTAAGAGAGGACTTTCCTCTATTCCTTTATTTCAAATTGTATAATTAGGTACAACAGTACAAATTGTTACATTCAAGAAAGGGAGTAGAAGTTAAGGCTAGGATTTACCCTCAACCTATTCTTAGCTAGAATGGTTGAAAAATTTTTGTGACACACTTATCCGATAAATTTGACGAAACTACCTATAATAAATAAACATAGCGTTCAAATTTCATGTATTACAAACTAAATTAACTTTTATAAAAAGCTTATTAATTTTTTGTGGGGCAACCTTTTTATAACGAACTGATGATTTTGTAGAATTCACACTACCACGACACTTTTCTAAGATTTAACGTTCGCAATTATAACTCCAGAATACACTATTTTTCGTTAACTCTGATACCCCTTATTATTTTATTCTTTCAAATCTTTTCAACAATGTTTATACATTCCTAGCTTGGTGCAACTGTATTAGTCGCGTTCCTCTTGTACTACCTCAATTTAATAACTTATGATGCAAATGTACTAGTTATCCATTTTTGGAAATCGATATGAACATAAAAAATTAACATGATTGTGTCTATTTGGTTATCTATTGGCAAACAGATAGGCATGTGCAATGTAAGGTATTAGATTTTTAATGTGTAATTATTTATTATGACTTTACAGTTCTAAATTGTTATGTACGTATAGTGCGTACAAGCTAAAATAGCCGCTACTTTTAGCAAAAAAACAAAGACTTGAATAAATAAAATGACGATTAAATTTTTTTTAATCTAAGATAATTAAAATTTATTAATTATTACTTTGTAATACTTTAAATTGAAGAATCGTTTGAAATCAATTCATACTATAATTAATGAGTTGTGACATATAAATTAAATTAGATTTGTTATACTAATAAATTGTAATATTATTGATTCCAAACTTGAAACAATTTATTTGTTTCGATCAAAATTATGGGCTGAATACATATGAAACAAGTTTTTCTACCGAATTCCGTTCGCAAAAAGCACCCTATAAAATATCCAGGAATTTTACTATAAATATTCAGATTTCGAGCTATTTCAAGCTTCAAAATGCACAAATTTGTAGAAGACCCGGGGTACTTCGGCGAACAAAATACGGTATTTAGCTCTCTATGAAGATTTTAAATGAATTGTACAGAATATTTAGTATACAGTCAGACCTCCTAAGTCTACGTCGTCAGGACCAGCTCTAGAGCATTCATTTAGGGGGGGTTGCAATTAGACAACACTATTATCATGTGATAAACATGGCTTTAGTGCCTAAAATAATAGATTTGATTGGCTAATAATCGCATGGGTGCATTTATGGTGGGAATTTTTTTATAAATGGACCAAACAATTAGCGTGCACTTACGGAATAAAGAAAATGCATTTATAAGTCCCATTGTGAGGCTAGCCTTTCATCGTCATTTAGAGAGGTGTTGCATTTAGGGGGCAGTTTTTAGGAGACTGTAATTCTGTATTACATACGGGATTCGTGTATTTTTTATAAGGAATATGCATAAAGAATTAATCAATTTCCATATAAATTACGGAATTATACCGTTAATTTATTTAAAATTCCGTAAATCTTTTTTCATCGTGCTTATATGCACTGTGAACGCTGGCATGTTCTTTTGAGATATTAAAATAAATATTTATATATATCAGGTCACAATTTTTTAAATAGTGCTCTTCTTAAATTTTATTACATATACGGAAAATTCGAATCTAATTTAAAATTTGACAGACTATAACATCAACATCACTTAACACCAATAAATTCCATCAAAAGGATGTCTAATCGTGTTACCGAGGAGACCTATGAGACCCAAATTGGCCGCGCTGTAAAGGCAAGTAACGAGCTTGTAAATAATTTCCATCGTGATGGAGTAGATCGTGGGTGCATTGCAACGTTTAACAATGCGATGATAATAAGACAGGTAAAAATTATTTTCTTCTAGAACGCATCTATTTGTCATATATAATTTCTTTGTGCATTCTTTTTATACAATTCAAAGAATTTCACTGAGAATGAAGCATTGATTCATCGTTCCCTTGATGGATTAGTAGACGTTGCTGATGGTGGCACTCGCCTTTATGACAGTATGGTTGATGTCATTAGAACTTTCCATCGTAATGGTAACCGTATGCGTCCATGGGTTTTAGTTGTAGTTACTGATGGAGATGATAACGATAGTATTTTGAGTTATAAACGATGCATTGAAGAGGTATCGCGTTTATTTACTAATGAGTCCAGTAACTATTTATTTGTCCTCGGAGTTGGAGATAATGTGAACTCCCGGAGAATGGAAGAGGTATGAATTCTTTTATTTCTTTTGACTTTACTTAGAAAAGTATATTTTTTTTCTTTTGATTTACTTGGAAAAGTATTATTTTATTTATTTTAGAATAAACCAACTTTTCAATTTTTTTTTTATTTAAAATAAGATTATGATACAATGTTTCCTAATCTAAATTTTTTTTTTGAACAAAATTAGATGGCAGACACTGGCAACTTTATTTATATCCCTGTTAAAGATTTTTATGTCCTCGAATTTGCATTCTTGATGATTGCCTACAAGGTTACCACTTCTAGGACCCTCTCTCTTACAAGCTTATCTATCGGTGACATTTCCACATCATGGGCTGAAATACGAAATCACAGAGAGCTTAGTAATGTGGCAATTGATTATGCACTTTTGATTGATGTATCTGGATCTATGAATGTTAATATACTTCCACCACCTCCTAAATGTTTTGTGGGACATGATTTGAAAGAGAAGTTTCACATCGGTAATTGGTGGTGCGATGTGTGCGGGGAAGATGGTCGAACAACAGTAAGCTTTTATATTTATACTTTTAGATTTGATTAACTTATTCACTTTAATATACTGACTCTTCATATGTTAATCTTTACATTATGTTAACTTGGAAACAGACTTCAAAATATTATTGTGACTATTGCGATTTTGATGCTTGTCCTAGCCATTGTGAACCTGGACGTGAATGTAAACCCAGAAGCTACTGTCGAAATAAACATCCTCTTCGTTACACTCAGCTATCCACAATAAAGGGGTGGATATGCAATGAATGTAATAAGATTTCTACTGGAAAACATTTACGATGTCATCAATGTAATTATGACATGTGTTCAGATTGTTTCTTTTTAGAGCTAATGATAAACATGAGTCTCTTAAGCAGTAATAATTAATTGAATAAGATGTCAGATTATTCTAGAATCTATATAACATATTTTAATAGCATTTTCACTAGTGATGCATACTTTCTTTGCCATTAATTTTTTCATTCTTCCTTACTTATATCACTTTAGAATTGTTATATCATCATAAATATTGTCATATTGTTATACTTATTATTGTCACAGTTCAACTTTTATCAGCATTATTTATTATACTATTCTGAGTTGTATCCAAAAATCTGTGGTTGCTCCAACTGACCCTAGCTTGAAGTTTGCTTGAAATAGTTAATGGAAAAGTAATATAGGGAAATTAAGGAGTATAATGCCACATTGGGTGACTAGTAATAGTAG